AAAAAAAAAAAAAAAAAAAAAAAAAAAAATTGAAGTCCGTTCAATTTTGAACGCGAATTTAAATCCGTGTTCAAACGCACATTTGAACGCGAACGCGCGTTCACGGCGTTCAAACGGTTACATAGCGCAGGGCCTCGACATCAGTTGAAAATTCAAAAAAAAAAAAAGATTTCCCCCCGCGACAATCGCGTCAAAAATGACCCATTCCCACAATAGAATAAGAAAAAAGCTATAGCAATAGTTATTCGTCGCGTTCGCTAAGGCGTGATCAACTACCAACCGTCACGGGACCAGGCCAGCCCCCCGCCCTTTTTCCTAGAGGGCGCGAAAACACAAGGACTCGTAAAACAAGGGCATCCACGCAATTCATTAGGCCATCCCGACTCAACCCGTTTCAACCCCCAACGTAGCCTCGCGCAGAAGATCGCGCGGTTGTAGAAAGTAGTTCGTCACATATGTGACGTCCACGGGGTTCCAATCTTGAGCAAGCTCCTGCTTGCTCCTTCAATCATCCGTCGATCTCCGGCGGTGGACGCGGAGTTGACACGTGCCACTTATCGTAAGATGAGAGTGTGGAAGTCATCCAGGTGGCATTCGCGACTTCGATCTAAAGGTTGTCCGGGAAAGGTAGCCTGATGACTAGAGGAGGCGGAGGGGGGTGAACTTGTGGGAGGGGTGGCAGAAAGTGGTTTCGCTCTTGATCCCTAGTGGGGAGCCGAGTGTAATGGACGGTGCGATGTATGTGGTGGAAGCGATGATCCTTGCGAGGGAGGGAGGCAAGGTAATCGGGATAGAGGGTGCACGGGGTGTGGGGGATCGAGGCGCGAAGATCCTCGTAACCTTCGCATGTGGGGATTACGCCCGAGATTATACAATATCTTTCAATATTGTTGTAATCTAGCCATGTCGCGCTGAAGAGGAGGACGTGGCGGGGGAAAGTGGTTACGATGGAGCGAGTGGAGGCATGCGGGAAGACGGTGACACCGAGACGGGTAGAATAGAGCTGGTGGAAGAGGGAAGAGGGGAAAGGATGCCAATTCGAGGGAAATGAGGGTCGACCCGCGATCTGATGGATGGCGAGGAAATCAAGGGGACGGCGGGATAATGATCGGGGACGAAGCCTAAGTGACCGCATCTCCACATAGGCGAATGGTGAGCCTCTGTGGTGGAGGGGATTGAGCCGATGTTGGACTTCTTCTGCGACGTCTGCTTCTGCTGCGTCTGCTTCCAGATCCCTCCATGGTGGCGACACCATCTTCTCCGGACACTTCTTGTGGTGGCTCTGGCCTGTGCGCCGGATCGTCTTGCAGCAGCCACACGTCTGAATCCTGCACTGGGCGCTTCCATTCTGCCCTCTCCTGTCCCCTCTTAGCCGCCGCTTCGTCTTCCTCCTTACTCCGTTCGCCGCAACTGCCTGATTCGTCCAACCCACTCTCTTCCGACCCGTCCTCCTCAGATTCGTGATAATCTGGGTCGTCCGAACTGGCCTCCGATTCTTCTTCTTTGTTCGGGTCTTCCCTCTCCTCCTTTTCTTCGTCTACCTCTTCTTCTGCCCCCACCTCCGCTCTTCGGATGATCGGATCCCACAGAGTGATATCAGTTACATCGATGACCAAATAGTCGCTCGAAGACGGGAGGTAGATGTTGTCACCGTCGAGTTCTGTGCACGTGGACCACAGTAGCTGTGACGCCAACGTACGAGGGAGCGTCGCTGGTGCGGACCGCTCGTCACAACGTGAAAGGATCTCCAAAGGCAGATCGTCTAGGAGTTGGGACGGGAACACCAGAACTTTGCTCGTAATTGGCTCGAGATGTCCGTCCCGCACCTTCCCAAAGAGTATCCCCAGCAGTTCTCCCTCCGTATCCATCCTCCAGGCTTGGACGATCAGCAACTTCATCTCATCATTAGGAACTTCATCTTCCTCCTCTTTATCTGTCGGCTCGGCCCAATGAAACACCATCTCGAGAAGGCAAAGGCTGAGTGCGACGTACGCGTGCCACCACTCCGCCCACTTGCCCACGTCCATGATTGGCACGTCCAGCCGCTTGATTCGAAAGGAGAGGGGAGGGTCCGTGGCGGACTGCTAGAAGGTAGGGAGATCGAAAGGAAGCTCAAGGTCGAAAGGCGGTGCATAAACTCTAACAAGGGTATCTGCTCGGGATTTTCAATGTCGAACAACTGTCCGACTGATGATAAGATTTCAATTGGATGACCTGACTTGATGAGATTGGGGTACCTGCCAAAGCTCATTCAGACCAAACCTACGACCGAGAGACTGAAATTTTTGCTTAACTGCAAATGCCTGTGGCATGTTATTAATGGTGGTGCGTTCGGTCACCAACCGCGTCTAGCAAGGACGCAGGGGCATACGGGCGTGGGATTACTAAGTCCAACTTCTAGCCTACTTAAAATAATGACGCGCGCCAACTGTTAAGCCGCGCGATTCAGAGCCTAAATGGTTAATAAGGATCTTTGCGCCAGGTGTGCGGCTGTGGCATAGCAGGGGGAAGATGTTCCTATGGCAGAAGGAGGCGAGAAGGGCCGGCTATGCCATAGGCAGGCATGATGGCTGTGTGTGGATTTTCTTATAGAAGAACCGCTCCTACTATCTTCATAGTAGGAGCCAGCCCAGTAGGTTAACGCATTGGACCGCCACCCTGCAGAAACGGTAAAGGAAACCAGAGTGCGCCCTACTGGTGCTAGCTCCTTTTGGAGCAGGCCATAGACTAGCATACCACAGACAAGCGTTTCACCGAGGCGGAGCTCTTCATAAAGAAGAGTTGCTCCTGCCTCACCGTGGTAGGAGCTAGCCTAGTAGGATGACATGCCAAGTTCTCACTCAGCAGATACTGGGATCGAACCCGACTATGCCCTACTTGGGCTAGCTCCTCTTGGAGCTGCCCATTGGGGTGGGAACGAGGTGTGGTCGATTTCGACTGCGAGACCTTAAGATCTCATGGCCGAAAAAGTCTGCGCGACTACTGCATGGCCCCTGCCAAGGATAACACACATAAATCGAGAAAAGGTCCAAATATAGTTCTCGATCCCTCAGGGGATCGAACTCCGGTCGGAGTATTCGCAAGGCCGGGTGTGCATGCACCAGTAGGGAGAAAACCGTTGGCTTAAGCCAACGGTTACGAAAAAAAAAAAAAAAAAAAAAAAGAGAAAAAAAAAAACCAACTACAGCTAAAACGCCAAGTGGCGCACGTAGAGCAGACAAGGACTTGCAGTCCCTGTGGGAGTAAAAACGAATGTCCGTTTTCTCCGTTTTTAGTGATCAAATGATTTTGGCAATTTTTTTTATTTTATTTTTAGATCCCCCCCCCCCTCCTTGGATGTGGCAAAA